TGAAAAGAATAGAAAACTCAGACTGGCTTTCGCAAAATCCAACATCAATAAGAACTCTGATTACTGGAATGAAGTTATATTTGCTGATGAGAGTAAATTTAATATATTTGGTTCTGACGGTAGAATCTTGGTGTAGAGAAGACCCAGGAAAGAATTTCGCAAACAGAACTTGGTGCCAACAGTAAAACATGGTGGAGGAGGAGTTATGGTATGGGGGTGTATGTCGTCCGCTGGAGTTGGTAATCTTGTTTTTATTGACAGTATAATGGATCAGTACAAGCATATTGACATTTTAAATCAAAATTTGAAATCTTCAGCATGAAAATTGACCCCTCATAACGATTTTAAATTCTACCAGGACAATTACCCCAAGCACACTGCTTTGAACGTTAGACTCTGGCTGCTGTATAACTGTCCTGAAATAATAAAAACACCACCACAATCTCCAGACTTAAATCCCACAGAGAATATTTGGCAAGAATTGGAATCAAGAATTCGCAAACACCATTTCTTCAAAACAGCAATTAAAATCATTGCTTCAAGAAGAATGGGGTAAAATTACTCCAGATATCAAAAAAAAAAAAAATTAGTCGAATCCATCCCAAGAAGATTAAATCACGTTTTCAAAGTAAAAGGAAATTCAACAAAATGTTAAAACATTTTAAGAAGTAAAATTTTTCAATAAATATTTGATGGAAAAGAAAGTGTCCCATCACTTATGTGAGCTATTTTTTGCTCCGTTCTAAACAATTGTATTTTTATTAAATTAATATGTTAATATTTTGAGAAAATGTATGTTGTGTAATAATTGTTACTAAATTTAAGTATGAAACACACCCACAAAAAATTTTTACATGTTTTTTTAATTTACTTTGCTACAGTTTCCTTTCGTAAAGCACAAGTGTCCCATCACTTTTGTGAGACACTGTATATAAAATAAATCTATTTTTATTCCTTTTTCTATATGAAATAGTAAAAGAAATAAAATAGTAGAACAATATCGTTTGAGAATTGGTTTATCTGACAAAAAATATCTGAATGATAGTGCAGTGAATTTTATGTTAGAACCTTTATAAATAAAAGCAGGTATCTATCGAAGTATACTTTTAAAGTAATAAATACATTTAGTATACTGTTTAAAACTGATAACGCGCTAAATTTGTGAAAAATACAGCTGTGGAAAAAACTTGCTATCAGAGAATAAGCGCATGCAAGTAAATATATAGTTGAGTAATTTCTTGCTTTAAATTACCTCAGATTTATTCCTTTAGAAAAGTATATATTCGTGGAGCACTTTTTAAAATATGCTGATTATATTTGCGTTACGCGTGGGTAATATATGAAAATTCTAATTCAGCCAACCAACTCCTTTCATCAGAAATCGAATCTTAAACAAAATTATCGCAAGTTAAGACATTTGTCAATATGGATTATATATGTAATGGATAATTTAATAACTTATTTAGTAAGCGATTACAGCGATTACAAAATTATGATGTAGGAATACATGCAAAGGTAACAAGAGTAAAAAATTTAAAAAACTGTAATAAGAAACTTGCATTCTAAAACCTTCAGTTTACTTTCTAATATCTCAGAAGAAATTATACCGCTAAATAATTAAGTACGATACCTACTTTGCTCAATTAAACTCGAAAAAACAATTCATTTCTGTCTTTATTTTTAAAACGTAAAATAGTGAAAATAGAAAGTTATTAAAATGAACATGATCATTTGAATAAAAAATATCTAAAGGATTGCAGTCTATATGCCATTGCAAAATTTCATCATTTTCATTAGATTTTACCTTTGACGCAGACGATCTACAAGAACTAGTGTTAAAAATTTTGCAAGCGACATATATATACTATACATTATTTTGTGCTAGAAATATGATTTATTTTTACAGTAATGGCACAAAACAGAACTTATAGAAAGATATTATCAAGTACAGGTAAAATTACTTTTTTTAAATGAGTCCTTTTGTGTGTCTCTAAAAGCAACATTCCTTTAGTCATTTAACATATGCAAAGTACATGAATGATTTTAAGTCTTGCTGGGCGGAAACTTCTGATTTTTATTTATAGTGAATAAAAAATTAAACGTACGTAAGTTATTTTATAAGTAAAGGCCGTCTACTAAATTCTAAGTATAGTCTATACTTTTTTACTTACTATTATGAAGTAATGAAGAATCTGCATGGATGGATGGAAGGATGTTCCTCTCAAAGTGAAAAAACGGCGGCATCTTGAGCCATCAAATTTCGAATACACATTGGTGCTTTAGTGGAATATGTGCACTTGGAAGCCGAATTTTTAACTGCGAATATTTTTTTAAATTTATTTATTTCACGCTTTGTAACTGATGAATAAAAACTGATGAAATTCATAAAACTGATGAAATTTTGATTAACGAAATCAGCGATTTAAGAGAAAGGTGATGTGTTGCCATTCGGCAAAGCTAAAGATATTTATGCTTTTAATCAGCAAACTCTGCGATTTAAAAGAAAAGCGTTACCACTTAGCAAAGCGCAAGATATTTATTTGTCTTTGAAATTTAATTAATAAACCCAATGATTTAATAGAAATGCATTGCCACTGATCGAAATAAAATATTTTTATCTTCCACTTGCCTATTCTGTTATTTGGCAAAGTGTGAGATATATTTAATTTTGTTTCAAATTAATCTGTCTGTTATTAAAAAACTCAGCTATTTAAAAGGAAAAAAAACGTAGTTCTTAGTCCCTATTATTATCTCTGATCTGTGACCTATGCACTAGCTGGTCTCATTAAAATCATTATTTTTTTTTCTATTTATGATAACTATTTTAGGCGGCTGGCCACATAAGCGGCTAGTGCAGAAAATGTATGAATAATTTTAGGCCAATTATCTGATAATTTTTATTTTTATTTATAGATAATGAAAAAGGTAAGTACTCCTAATAACACTCTTTCAAAATGCCAATGAAATCAAAATTATTACTATTATTAATAAATAAAAATAGTATGCATAAACAAATAAACGTCTTAAAAAGTAAAATAAAACGTTGGGCGTATTAATAAGAGATCTGCAGATATATGCCATAGATTATCACAGAAATCAGAGAAAAACATGATATGCGACAAGCCCATTAAATTAGGAGTTTAAATGAAGCAATCGCGTCTGAAGTTTTGTGATCCTCTTGAATTCTGATGGATCGAGGTACAACTTCAAAAATCGTTTCAAATTACAATAATAAGCATCTATCTATTTACATAATAGTAGGCCATGACCACATATTCTTATGTTTGATAAAGTGATCATTTCAAGCGTAATGCACGCTCATTTTTACTAAACATATTTGAAGCTCCGTAAGAGTTTTTCTTTATACTTACTGTGTAGTTTTGCTGCTTTTGAATATCTGGAAGGCTATAAGGTACTTTCTTCTTCCTTTCCGCATGCCTTGGAGTTATAATTGGAATCACTCTCGACACGGTCCAGGATTCGAGTCCTAGCGAGGGCACTGCACACTTTTTAAGTTTCCTGCTTCAAAATAACCTAATGACTCTACAGAAGTTAGTGGGCGATAATTCGTCAACATCAGAATCTGGCTTTTGGCTTCCCTCATCCCCAGTTGCCCTTTAAAAAGGGGGAGTATATAATTTCTGATTTCTCCCTCCTTTCAGCACGCCTTCGTGGTGTAACTGGAAGCACATTCGACGTGTATTCGGGAGGTCCGGAGTATGAATCCCGATGAGGGCACTGCACTGCACATCAAAAATCCTAATGACTCTACAAGATCTAGAGCTGCAGTTGGAAAATTATTTCCCTTAAAATGTACGATACGTTACGTATCAATTGAGATAAATATTCTATGGATGAAAATATCTGTCCTTTCAAGGGAAATCATATTCCGGTCTACCTAATGATGATTAGAGACATCAAATATTGTGACTGTCTGTTGCAGATTTTCCGAATGTGATATCGGGCCTGATGCACGATAGGCCCATTAATTGCTGAGTGAAAAGGACTCCTGAATATTGGTAATTTGGCTCATGTGCAAATTCAGTGAATGAGCTGGTTGCATGAGCGCTTTTGTAGTTTTCATTACGAGTAACGTGAATACGAAACAGTTTTCACTAGAAAATTCTCTGCGAAGATATACTTACCATTAAGAATATAGTTGTAACGTGCTTTGTCTTAATCAAAGAACCCAATTCAGTCGTTGACGGAACATTATACCAGTTGATGTAAGGCATATAAGGGAAAAAATGCCTGTCTCTTCATCGAAAAGCGTATTATGGTGTATTGAGTGATTATCAGTATCTCAAACATTATAAATGCCTCTGCTTCATATGATCTTAATCTGATGCTATAAGATTAATCATTTCTCTCTACATTACCCAAGATTTCTGCACTAGCCATTTAAACACTCCTCGTTGTTAAATAAATCTTCTATAATCTTCTTCATATTAGAAAAGAAACGAAAAGAAACGTTGCGATTGCGTCATTTGCTCCATTGCATTTACCACAAAATGCCATCCGTTTAAAATAGCCCTTTAGTAGCTGTACAAGAAATGTTTCTGGATATTGGCATTTCTTGCAAAGCGCAGCGAGATGTGTATTAAACAAAAGATTGTTATTGAAATGTCTTGAGCAAGTAGATCCAGAATGGGTGGGATCATAGACTCAACATTCAAAAGTTTCGTTTTAGGAAGGAGTCGAAAAGGAAAAAAATGGGTCTTTCAATAATATCCTCAGAGAAACGATTACAATACCGCGCCCGCAATTAAAAGTAGCTCGGTCTTTCGCCAATTGATCGCGAGCAGAGAGAAGAGAAATGCTCACACGCTAAAACAAAAACATGAAAAACCACTGTTGACGGCGTCGCCATGACTACGATCCCGTCACCCTCTGCGCGCCGCCCCCACTTCCTCCTCTGCCACCCTCTTCTACTGCGGCGCCGCTCCAGAATTCGTGGGGGGTTCGGATAGCGGCAAAAGGGGTTATCCTTCCAAGATGACGTCACCGGCCCTGTTGCGGAGGATCAGGCGGCAGCAGTAGCAGAGATGTGCCAGGTCCAGCAAGGGCCTGAGGAGTATCGTCCGTCCAGCCCCGACGAGGCCCGGGGTGACCTAGGTGCCATGTTTCGTGCCGTCCACCAGCGGATCAAGGACTGGCATCTTAAGGTCCGCAGGGCCAGCAGCAGGTCATCCACTGTCATCAACGCAGATCATGTGACCGCGGATGGGGCGGCTTTCTACCTGTCTGGCTCACAGCACCAGACGCCGATTTTACCAGCACCAGCTGAAGCGGTAGGCCTTCTTCATAATAACCCCCCCCCAAATGATCTTGAAACGGATTCCAACATCACGCATGTGCTTAATGCTTGAGCATGCAAAGCCTATTTATTTTACTTGCATAAGCTCTGCTAATTCTTCATCCTGGATACGCCTTCCAGAAAGCATTCCAAAAGATAGCATCATCGGCGATGTAGCGAGAAGGAAGCATGCCATTTCATCTTTTCAACGGCTTACTTGAAGGAATCATGTTTCATTCTATTAATGAATCGTGTTTAAATATTTTGCAATTTTTTTGAATTTATTTTCTAAACAGTCAAACAAAATAAATTTTGCTCTATTCGTTTAGAGAAATTCCAAAGCTCTTATTTATTAAAGTTTGATTTTTGTCCCTTTTTAGGAATTTTCTTTTACTGCTTACTTATTTGCTGAAATATTTCAATATTCAAAGACATGTAATAAACGGATTCAAAAGTACAGACAGAATTATTTCTGGAAAGATTGTAATATAAAACATATCGCTGCAGGAGAATGAAACTTCTTAGTTTGGAACTGGATGCAATATTATTTCATTAAATTTGTTATTTGGAAAAGATCTTCTTAGAGATTTTTAGTGACATTTCAGATTTGATTATTCTGTGTAGAGATACACATTCTGCAATTTTATTATCTTGTTCAACTGTACTATCTTAAATCACTCGTGCGCTGTACTGAACTCTATATTCCATTCTTAAATCAAATCATTTTGCCTTCTTTGGAAGCATGCTATATGATCACATTTCAGTACAAGGCTTTCGCATTTTTCTTTTAAAAATTGACCCTTTTCATTCGGAAAAAAGAAGATACCGAAACAAACATTAGCTCGGTGCCTTTGTTGAAGATATCTATAATTGTCTCTGTGTTTATTTTAACATTAGAATTTCACTACTGTCTTCTTAGTTGGACTCCTTCAAAGAGAGGCGAGCATTTATTTCTAAAGATAGCTTCATCAACAACGCAATGAATAGAAATAACCATTGCTGCTTCACGTCAACGCTTGACAGAAAAAAGACATCGTTTATTCCAAACTAGTGCGATTTAATCACTTGAACTATTGTTTAATATTTTGCTCATTCTGTTGCTTCCTTTTTTTAATTAATATTAGTGCAATAGGATTTAGGTTTAAAATATCATTATATAAAGCAAAATATCTAAGTATTATTGAAAACTGTTTGTGATTTTATAATAGTTTTTTCTAGAAAATTGCTTCATTTTATGGGCATGGCCTTTGCATTGGTTAAATGAAGTCAAGTTTAATTAAGCATCTTGATATCATTTTTTTAAAGCTTTTTGGCTCACATTTAGACCTGGTATGATCATCCTTATAGTGGGTATTTTCCTCTAGAATACTGTAGTCTGCAGCGAAACGAAATTGTTGTCATAGTATAATGCAGATTTAAATCTTTCTCATATCAAAATAATAACATTTAAAAATATAAACTTTTGGAACATTTTGGAAACTCTGTAAGACGCTAATCGAAGCACAGATGCAATCCATATTTAAAATAACATAGAAATTCATCAAATTCTTTATTAAACTGCTTAAAAGTAAATAAGAATGTACAAAGCAAATTCCCAAAATTCTGTTTTTATTTACACTTACTTCATCTAAGCAGTGTTCCAAAACCATGAAAATTAAATTTTTGATAATTTAATGGTAACTGTCGTTCATAGATTTTTATCATTTGTTGTTCAGGCGTGTGATTATTTCTGTAATATTTTAATATAAGATAAAATAATAACAAATTTTTTAATTTACAGTATGGTGGTTGCCATTACTTTACGTAAATTAAACTTATCATATATAAAGTATGGCAAACATACCAAACATAAAGTGTGACTTCTTTTGATAATTTGTAATTTAAGTATGCAGATATTTATATAATATTTTAAAATAAAGTAAAATGATAAAATGGCTTGAATTCATAGAAAAGCCGTTACCATTAACTCATATTAATTAAATTTACTGTAAAATAAAGATAATTATCATTTATACATTTTTTAACTGTTATAAAACTTTAAAATAACATAAGATTTTGAAACGCCAGGATGAGGATGTTTCGGAAATGTGCAGATTTAACTGAATATTTCATTAAATTTTCGAGAGGGTATAAGAATTTTTCATAGGTCAAAAATTGTGCTCAAATTCTTCTAATAATTATTAACTTATTTATTTATGCGTTATAATAAATAATTAGACATTCATAAGAATTCTTAGACAATGTCATTGTCATCAGTGTTACAAAAAGAATTATGTGTAGAACGTTGAAGATCTAAAGTATTTAGTTTTAGTTATTTGAGAATTCTTATAGACGATTTTTTGCAACTGTCACTTGTTTATCATTTTCCATTCCTTTATTTTATCAAACTATATACACATTATCGCTTGTTCTATCCTTAATCAAACCTTCCTTGATTTATATACATAACAGCAATTTTTTTCATATTACGTTTTAAAGCTTCTTTTCTAATATTTGTTAAAAGCTTTATAAACATATGTAAAAATGCTATGTATTTTGATTGTGACATATTTACACAATTCAGAATCATATAGCAATGGTAATGATTATCAATGGTAGCCAATTAGTAATCATGCATCAATGAGAAGGTTTTTAAGTCTTCTGTAACATAACTCTTTTGCTATCAAATTAACGCCATTGTATAATACCTTCTAATTAATCTGATATTAATATCGACACTTAACAGTCGACTAATATCGACTATTTACAGTGTTTAGTATACTAGTCAAGGATCTCATAAATATGAATATAAATTAAAATGTCTGATGAGTTTAATTTCATAAGCTTAAGTATTTGTACTACACTTTATTAAAAAGTGTACAGAATGAAATTTTGACCAATAAATTTTGATCCAGTTTACATCGACAGATGGCACCAGTTCTTTCTCTCGTAACAGGAAAATAAATTTCATTCAAATCTACTTTTATTTTATTCTTCTTGAAGCGTATCGGCTTTATTGCTTAATAAACTCAGTGGCGTAACAATCCTAATAGGCAAAGGCCTGCAGTACCCGAAATCTGCTTTCTTGACCGTGGGCCCGGGGTGCGTAAGCATATGCCCTGAACAAGTTGTCAGCTTGTCTTATTGCTTAATAGTTAAGGCGAAATATTTTCTATTACACTTCCAAGTACTACTTTTCGTCATTTTAGTAAACGAAAGAACAAAATTAATTTGCTGTCTGAAAATTTAAAAAATTCAGCTTACTATCCCAAAGTTTCCAAAAGTAAAAAAAAAATATGAAAAATATAAAACTAATAAGCGTTTAAAAATTTTGCAATCTAATCTTCATATATTTATTTGTAATTTAACGCTTGAGATAATAACTTTAAGCTAAAAAGCTACAAATAGGTAGTTTGTACGCAAGGCTTGAGGCAAATAATTTTCTCAAGTAGAAAAATTCAAAGAAAAAGAAATATTACAATTCTTTCTGCTAGCTAATATTTTATCCATTTCTTGAAAACATCTGACATATTCTTTGAGGTAAAACTTCTAAAATAACAATTTTCCTATAAATTTAAATTAAATGTAACTTTGAAGCTGCAATTTAATTTCTTTATTAGGATAACTGGAATCCATGTACCCATACATTATTTATTATGAATTCAAAAATTATTGTACGTAAATCCATGTGACTTCAGTTAATTCTATTCAATTTTTAAATGTAAAAACTGAATCCCCATTCAAAAGCGAGAAAACATATTTGACTCTAGAGGATTAATATTTTAAAGAGTCTTTAATAATTTTTCCAGTTAAAAATCTAAACTCAGTGTACATTATATTTAGATGAGTCTTAGCTTTGAAACACATTAACAAGCTAATTTCGAATCAGTTTTAATTCACAGGTATGATTTTAAAAGTAGACAATTACAATAAACATATAATGTACACTTCTGGAAGCAGATCATAAAACATGCAGGTATTGATTTATAAAATTCAGGCCGCTTTTGGTTTGACATAAAAAAAAAATTTAAATGTCTGCCATGAAGTAATGAAGGCTTAAAACAGGTATAAGGATTTGAGTAAAGCAAATGTACACAAATAAATTTTGAAGAAGTAGAGGGTTCTTTAAGCACAAGGACAGGGGTTCTCAACTGGGGGGGGGATTTCATAATTTCAAGGGTGAATACGGTCAGCCTTTTATTTAGCTGTTAGGTATTTAGTTTTAGTTTATGAATATAAAAGAAACCTACTTTTATTCAAGTTTTGATATTTCCCAACATTTTCTGTACTTTTTGTTATTTAGTTTATAAAACATGTTAAAAATAATATAAATCTAAATAAGTGTATACAAATAATTTTTAAGTTTTGAAAAGGAGGGGCGCATGATCTTCTAACAGTACTAAAAGACGATGTACTGAAACGATTTCCATGCATGCAAATATTTTATTGCAAAATCGTCTAAAAAATGTGTGAACAGCGTCTGTACAGATGCTGTGCTTTTTTATGCGTTAGTTTGAAAATAAACTTCAATGTATTTAAAAAGTCTATTGAAAGGTCATGATTTTTTACGTGTTTTCCGATTTAAATCGCTATGTTTGTACAGGCATAATTAAGCGTGATTACATTTCAACTATATTTAGTTGCATACATGATTACGTTACATTTATACTTTCAGAATGATATTTATATTTTTTAGAGTATTTTACTTAGCATTGTTGCGATAGCGAAATGCAATACCATTGCTGATTAAACGAAATATTATTATTATGGTTGCTACGTAGCTGTTCCAAATAAAACAATAATTATTATTGCTAGTAGTTATTGCTTTATTTGGAGTTATTTGGAAATAATTTGCAGATTTATTTAATAATGTATTTAATAATGTAATATTTAATAATGTCCTAATAAATTCGGGAAAAGACATTTAAACTTTAGGAATGTTTAATACAATTCCTAATATGCATTGAAAACAATTACCAAAATTTTGATTATCGTGTTTTCTTTGATTTATTTCAA